CTGAGCAGCTGCCGCCCGTGCTCCTCCAGCAGCAGCCCCCCGCCGCTCTGGCCCATGGCGGCAGCAGCAGCAGCGCCACTAGTGCCGGCTGAAGCAACAGCAGCAGCAGCAGCAGGAGAACTGCTCAGCACGTCGTTGGCGTCGATTTCTATCGTCGTGCGCTGGCGGTCGGCGTCACGCAACACCGCCAGCAGCAGCGAAGCGGACGAGGCCGTGAACTGCTCCATTCGTGTGTCCAATGAGTGCAGCAATACTGCTGTGTGGCCGCTGAGAATGTCTTTAAGTTCGTCGCGTGTGTACGTCTCCTGCAGCACGTTGCCCACCTGGTGATTCGACGCGTCGAAACTGGCGCTGCGCTTCAGGCTGTCGTACGCCAGACGCGCCCACTGCTGGTAAGAGTCGAGGATGGCCCGCGACTGCGCTGAGAGCCCGTACAAGTTGTCACCCATGTCGCTTGCTGTTGTTGCGTTTTCTTTTTTGATTCGCCTCTCTGTTGTTGACGGAGACCGCGCCACGTTCTTTGTAGGCTGGCATGTGTGGTGGGTGGGGGAGAGACAGGGAGAGCGAGAGAGCGGAAGGCAGAGCATCGTACCGCACGTGGGATTCCGAACCCGTGAAGCAGGCGGAGGAGTCGGCACAGCAGACGGCAGCAGTAGTAATACTCCCGGGCGGGCTGGCACAACAAAAACAACCTGAAAGCATTAAATCATGAAAGAAGTGCGAGAATCCACGGCATACAACACATAGGTGGCACTGGGCGAGAGGAGAAAGCAGAGTTCGAAACAGGGAATGAAACGAGAAAGTGAGAGCAAAGACATGCAGGGAAGTGCAGAAGGCACGGACATGCATTTCCCCCCCTCAACCTTTCACCGCCACGCGATTCCCTATTCGCCCCACAGCACCCCTTGTACCATCTTCCCTTGCCGCCCCACCCCCACACCTCCCTCACACATCATTCCTGTCGGCATTCACCGACTCCCACTTTGCATTCAACATCATTCACTTCAGTTCGTATACATATATATATATATATATGTATATATATGCATACGTATATAATTAACGTTTTCGTGTTACGTGAACCCAATACCCTGCGGGCTTTGTGTGTATGTGTGTGGTTTCCCCCCACCTTGTAGTTAGCACACCCCACTCCCCCCACCAACGTCATAATCATGATCATCATCCCCTCTGCTGGCCTTTATTTTACACACTTGTGTCCATTTCACCTGATTTTCTCTTTTTTTTTTGTTTGCTTACTGAATCCTTTTTGGGGGGGATTTTCTTTTCTCCATTTTCATTGTTTTGTTTATTGATTCATATCACTTTTCTTTCTCCTTGTCGTTGTTGTTATTTTTCCCTCCACCCCTCAGTATCTCTCGTCTTTGTGCTGTCTCCCGTCTCATTTACTGTTTTGCATTGGTTTTGGTTCGGCTTCGTTGCTGCCTCCCCACCACGGCCCACACACCCACACAGACACACACACACCTGCACTTGCGTCCGCCCTCGCGCCTTTCGCCCCGCGGGGCGTGTGTGTGAGTGTGTGGGCACCCCCACGACTGTGTGTAAGGGGGGGAGGAGGGGGAAGGGCTTGTTTGTTACTTTGTCTGTGTGCACGCGAGCGTGCGGGACAAGGTGAGAGAGGGTGCGTGTGTGAGTGGGTGGGTGTTAGTGCAGCGGCCTTATCNTGTCTGTGTGCACGCGAGCGTGCGGGACAAGGTGAGAGAGGGTGCGTGTGTGAGTGGGTGGGTGTTAGTGCAGCGGCCTTATCGTAATAAATAGCGCCCAGCAGCTGGTCTCTGCTCCCACGCCCTCTCCTCGTTCCACCGCAGTGGCCGTCCGTCAGGAAGACAGCGAGGGTCAGAGTGAGGCAGAGACACAGCGGGGGGAAAAACAGAACAGAGCAAAACAGAACGCAACAAAAACAAGGAAACATACATTCCGAGGCATTACGCTTTCCTTTCCTCTTCACACCACTCTTCCCTACAGCACTCTGCGCACGCGTTCTTGATCGGCCCTTCCCTGCGATGCCTACTCACGTGCCACTGCCTTGTTGAGCTCCTCCGAGAGGCGCATCTTCATCAGCCGTCGGAAGAACGGCAGCGCCTCACCACGGCGAATGACGAACTCGCCATTCGCGATCTCTCGCGGAATGGTGAACACTACCTTTGGCTTGGCGCTGCTATTGTTGTCTTTGCTGGTGCCAGACCGCGGCACAGCCATGGCTGCAGCATTGCCACCGCCACCGCTGCCGCTGTTGTTGTTGTTGTTGTTAACGCTGCTGCCACCGCTGGAGCCATTGTTACTCTTAGTGTTGCTGTTGTTATTAATAGTGTTGTTCGGGGGGACAGCAGTGGAGATAGTGGCGGCCTTTGTAGTCGCTGGTGACGCACGCAGCTTCCGCTCCTCTGCTGGTGCTGGTGCTGGTGCTGGTGCTGCCGCTACTCCTGTTTTCGGTGAAAACACCAAGGCATTGCTGCTGGGTTCGGGCGGAACAGATGCCGGTGATGCATTCAGTTTACCGACGAGATCCGCCAGTCGAATGCCGCCAGCACCTCCACTTAAAGTCACAGCGGCAGAAGGTGATGCGGCTGTGCGGTACGCGCTGACAGATGACGACAACGGAGAAGGCTGCGATGCCATGGCAGATTCTTCCACGGCGCTGCGCGGCTTTGGAATAATAGGGCCTGTCCCGCTCGCTGCTTGTACTGTGGATGTTGCGGATGCCGCAATTATTCCTGATGGTGATGTTGATGCGTCCTGGAGCACCTTTTGCGGCTGTTGTTGTTGCTGTTGTTGTTGTTGTTGGGACTTCAACACGAGGGC